TGAAATACTCCATTTGCATGGCGTACATTTTGAAGAACATTTGAAAACAATTTGGATTCCTACCCTTATACCTTTATTAAAATTAAAGTTGGGAAATTTGTTGTTTTCTAAAAGTAGACGGAGTGGGGAAGGCAAAGCTTCACTTTTCTCTTCTAAGGTAGAAAGTGTCAGCAAAACGTGAGAGTCGTCCTTGAGGGTAAATTGTCTAACCTAATTTTCTCACCGATTGCATGTGCCATTTCATCCACACATAACCTCACCTAGTTAACAGAATTAGCAAATGTAATGGGGAAACGTTACGAGAGAACTGAGTAAGAAGTTAGGGTAAGTTTTGAAAATTGTGCGCACACCTGGAAAATCCTGGCTACGCTCCTGAAAGAGACTTTGCTGGAGAGAAATTAAAACGTTCTCACTAATATGGTGAAGACCAGAAAGGACAAGCCATAGGATAGTTCCAGAAAACCACCCATTAAAATAGATCATGAAGGTGTCGCGGCGGAGGTTGAACTTGAAGGTGTCTGATGAAGTGCAATTTTTCAAGGGAGCCCAGAGAAGATTATGTACGATGGGCACAGCTGGTTTGACCTGGAAAATTTAGAGAAGCTCAAGGCAAATCGCTAGACAACACATGCTAGAGCTGAAATAAAAATATTTCGCTCTTTTGAACTCTGTCCGTAAGGGTAAAGGAGAAAGTTTCCCTTTATCTATGCATTAACCAAGTTGATTATGAATGTTTCCTCCTGTTGGACGTCTTACTAACGAGCACATAACCAATACTTGTCCGAAGAGGCGTTTTTGAGTTGACGAGCAGAGAAAATTAGGTTTCGACGGTCTGAAATTCAGGATGCCAGAGTGAAGACGCCTTTTGTATGATGACGTCATCGTCCTATAGTAAAAAGCGTTCGTTTTTTACCACTGATATTACGTCAATCGGTACACTTATGTTGTCGAAAGGTCCATGAGCATGGTAAATGACTTTACATTAAACTGCAGACACATCTTCAATCACTCCTTATTGTTCGCGATATTGGATAAACACTCTGATCGCTAACTGAATTTTCTTTGCTGTTTACTTTATTTTAAATTAGGACTGTCTTGAGTTGTCCATGTATTGACTAGCGATTTTAAGCTTTTTCAAGGAAAGGAAAATCTGGAATTGTCCCCAGGGTGGGGAATTTGCGCACAGTTTTAAGCCCTTCATTGGGGTGACTGTGGTTTTTGTTGTCCTGGGCTCATCCCTCATTCTTCTTAACCCCTTCCAAATTAATTTTTCTGTTTATCAAAAACCCTTTAAGGAAAGACAAAGAATCTCCTCAAAACGGGCTTCGTGATTGAGACCAAATAGCTGAAAATTGTACACGGAACCGTTGTTAATGGTGTACAAGGTAGAATGCGTCTATTTATTATTTTGTAAACGCCCAATTTTTAAAACCGGAAGTAATGATGTTTATTTCAAGAGCTCATGTCTCATGAGTTTTGAGTGAATCTTCAAACGCTGTAAATACATGTAGCTGGAACTATCATCGCATCCTCGCTCACTAATAATGATAACTTATATCAACTTCTATTATTTATTGCCTGGCTAAGATTTTCACGGATTATTCAGTTCAGTTGTTTGAAACCAGGCGGTTTTACGTGAGTTGTAACGCCATGCAAGGAACGTGACGACCCTCGATATGCGTGGGAAAATATTACTTTTTTTCGATCAAGGTGGAAACTGGCATCTTTGTCGTCGAGTAAGGTAATAGATCTCAATTTTCATTACTATGGTTAATTTTTAAAGCTCTGGTTTCGATAAAGGAACTGGAGGAAAATCAGGAAAGTTCCAATTCGACTGTGATGGTTGCACTGTTTGTTTACGCGTCGTAGCATACGTAGCATAAACATAACAAATTCATTTTCCTTTTCCTTATACAATCTGCTTTTTTTTTTTGACTTTTTTTCGCAGCAGACTTATTGATTATATTACAGAGGCTAATTTTATTACACAGATCACTCAGATTTAATGACAGATACTCTATTATCGATTGTAATTTTGGCAACACCTGGCGAGTATTCGGTGCAAAGATTATTGACAAAGTCGCCAGAACACTTTTTCATTCATTACTTTTGTTTCTGCTCCGTTAAATTTGCTCAATTTTTTTATTAACAAACTCAATTTAACTATAAACAATGAGCATTCAGGCAGAGTGGCAAGCTTCAATACGATGTGGCAAAAGAGATATACGACTTTAAAATTCTGTTAATTTTGCGGGTGTAAAAGATTCAAAAAGTATACCCACCAAAAGTTTAATCGATCGTTGCGAAAACGTTATCAATTTCGAAGTAGTTTCTAAAAATAAAATAAAGAGGGATTGTTCTTTCAATGTGTATCGGCAAAGGAAGATTAGCTTTGAAGACAGGGTTGTAGTCGAAGGCTCAAAAGCAGCTTCTATTAACCAATATGGCGCCGGTCCGAGGCACCCAAAAACCGGCCATGTCGATAATTTCCTAAATAGGAGGAATTAGAACCTAACGTTACATATATCTTATTAAAGAGCCCAAATCAAGTTTACTTGCCAATTTTAAGCCAATTCGGTGAGATAGTGTGGAAGCGACTTTTCAATATAGCTCGAGTCTTTCAGACAACTGCTCTTAATTATTTCCTAATAAGTTTAGATCGAAACTTTACCCTTATACAAAAACGGTAATTTTACAATGTATACCTACTGTGTTACCAACATTGAGCGTGGGTTGCCTGTGTGTTGTGGTGTGACTGGTTATTGCCAAGATGGCGGATTGATCCCGATAGCAAAACAATTAAAAAGGAAAATAAAACAAACGCAAAAAGGCGAAATAAAACTAGAATATATTTAAACAAATCTGCCGAATATTTTGGTGTGTTAACTCTCGGGGAGGGGCCGGGAGATCAATTGCAGGCTTTAGTAAACTTCATATCGTCAAAGTAAAGGCTAACAAGAGATGGAAATAAAACACAAACAACGGAAAACATCTCCATGCCATCTGTAGCCTGCGTCTCTGACGTTATTTAACCTCGTCTGCGGCAAAACATGAACTTCCAAAAATTAGTTGCAATTCTGAATAAAAAGATTTCTAAGGAATGATTAAAGTTCATAATCTATTTCTCTTTTTTTTCTGATATTTAACCCTCTACTTACCCCTAAATTAAGAGCTTCTTTTCCCCTGTGTGTTTCACTTTGTTCACCTGCTTGCCACCGAAAATAAATACCAAAAACTGTCCACTGCTAGCGTCTTTTTAGCTAAATTGATAAAATTTCACGCAAGAAACTCTGTTTGATAATAGACCAATTTCGACGTATCTCGATTAATACTTGGGGTCGATACTTCAGAATAAAAAAAGATGTATCATTCATCCCTGAATTTCTAAGTGATTTTTTTTATATTCTCCCTCAAGCCTGAATATGGTCTGTCAACAGAAAATATTGATTAGGAACCTTTTTTAACTTATCATTCAGTTCCTGAACGCGATTTGAAAATGAGAAGAATACATTATATATATATATTATAAGTACCTTCATTTCATCTATCGGTAGTCAGTTTTAAAACGTGTTTCAATCTTTAATTTGTTCAACAGAAGGCGTGAAAGAGATTCAGACTCTGCTTACCTCGACTTATGCAAAGTTCCGCCTTCAGAGTATCTGCCTTTTACTCCGCAATTTAAGGATATGTGAAGGGATGTTTCCTCTGGAAGATAATCTTCAAAAAGTAGTTGTCATGCGTCGAATGATTTTTGCAGATATTCTTGTATTTTTTAAGGCGTTAGCCCAGCTGTTCTGTCTTCGCTTTACGATTGAAACCTTCTGCCACTATCTCGAACTCTGCGACTGCCAAAACAGCTTAGCGCCACGCCGCCGTCTGTCCCTTTTTCTGTCAATCATCGGAAAAGAAGACGACACTTTTTATGGATATCGACAAGCATCTTCCAAAGTCGGTAAATGTCAACAGGTTATGAAGACATAGCCGGGAAATTTTAGCCAATCAGAATTGTGAGAGGTGGTGAGACTCTTCTTGTTTTCATTTTGTCTTTATATTAGCAGCTCAAATGTCTACGATTTGGGTTGCATACATTGTTCACTCAGCTAGAAAACCTACAAAGAGAGAGAAGGCATGTAGGCTTTCGAAACTCTATTTAGAAATAATGTGAATGTGAATATGAATCCTGACAATTGGGAAGGCGTTTTTGAGCGACGTACCTCAATCGGAAGTGAGGCCTTCTACCTTTTAAATTTGTATTTGTACCTTACTTTACTTTTATAGAGACGATTCGACAAAAAATTTGGACAAAACAACTACTTAAGAATGCACGCAGAAACTTCACTTCCGATTGCCGTCAGTCGCTTAAAAACGCCGTTAAGATCTCTAACGTCCCTTATATAAACTGCTTACACTAGCAAAAATCGGAATGCTAAAACTTAATTGCCACTTTCTTTTTTGAGTTTATAATTCAGTGGTATGCTTCCTCATTATAAGCCTTGACTCGATAAAGTTTGTCCCTCATGATCAGGCCGTGGAGGAGGATCAGGATCTCAAACGACGTAATAAGAAATATCACGCAAACTGCACAAATAATATACGCGGCAGTGCTTGAAAAATAACAAAGAGGATCCTTTAAAAATTAACTTGACGTTAAAGCATACGTCTTCTGAAGTAACCGTTAAATGAGGTAAGGACATTCAAGTGTACGATGAGAAACCATTTAACGCGAAAAAACAAAGCTACAAATGATGGGACGGTCTCACACACAGAACATCCAAAAAATAAAGATAAAAGCTCTTTGATGCTAACTTTTTTGGTCAAACGCGGCCTCGAAAAGTTTTCCTCTCGGTTGAAACCTGTGTTTCGGTGAGAGCTATAACAGTAACAAGACAGTAACTCAACTCGACACCATGACAGAACGTAGCTCTCTCCAGCCCCTTCCCAAGATGCCTAGCATTAGGATTACTACCCTCTAACACCTTCCCCCCAGTAAAATTTTACGTTTAACTAGAGTATCTTTGCGGCATTTTCACTAAGCGTCCCGAACGTGTACGTTTAACAGTAATAAGGTCCATCTTAGTGCATTTAGCAGGTTCTGCAGCCTTTGCAGTGTCTTTTACTGGCTTGATTTTTTTTCCACTCTTTTCAACAACAGTGACAGGTAGGTCTTCGGCTGTAGTTTTCTGTTCTCCAGATTTCGAGGAGGGTTCCGTAACTTTGACTTGCCGATCTTCGTTAAGATGTACACGGTTTCTTCTGAGCAGTTTACCATCCACATTAACATCGTATGAACGGTATCCACAGTTCTGTGAGACAGTTCCTTTCTTCCACTCTTGTCCTTTCAACAGACCTTCAAGCTTGACTCTAACCGTATCTCCAGGCTTTAATTCATTTAGGTCTTTAGCAGTGCGGTCATAATAGGCTTGAAATTTCTGGTGTTTCTTAGTTTTCTCTGCTAACACTGTTTCTGCAATATCAGGTGTCAGTAATGTCGCTTTCATAGGTACTTCAGTTGTTGTTCGACGGTTTAGGAATCTTTGTGCGGGAGGTGTTGTCATGCCAGCAGTAGGCGTGTTGTGCTGGTCAAGTAATGCTTCGTACGGACTCCGGACTCAATTTTGTTTTCTCAGCTTTCCCCAGCAAAGTTTTTCACAGCAGATTCAGCTTTTCCATTACTTTAGTGGTGATATGGTGAAGATTTGGTATGTTTAATCTTCTTTCGTTGGCAGAATTGCGAGAGCTCGACTGAGTCGTACTTCTTACCACAGTCTGTGACGATCTCATCAGGAATTCCCCATCTCGCAAATTGTTTTTGCATTAGATTAATGGTTTCACATGCAGTTTGGTGTTTCATCAAGTCAAATCAGAAGCTCATAAGGGGTTGAAACGTGTAACTCTCATATGTTTGCTTTGTCCGATGCTCGTGATTATTCATTTTCGAAAGTACCATATTTGGAACGAGAAGAAGAGATAACTGACCAATCAAACTTCGTAAACAACGTAACGTAGTTTTACTTCAGGTTCCCGCGCCCGCTTAAAAAAATGGCCGACAAACGGGGGAAAAACTCCCGAATGGCGAGAAAGCTTTCAAAGGTTGAAACCAGGAATCTTACCGAAACACTGAGCAGGATATTGCCTTACCACCCGGGCCAAACGTAACCCTATGAAACCCTTTGACGTCCTCGCAACTTCTCGAAGTTCAGTCACTTCAAAAAACGATGCCTCGTTGACCCTCTGCGCAGTAACCTTATAATGCAAATAGGCTTTTAATATTCTTAAATTAAAAGTCTATAATAAACAGTAAAAAATATTTTGCAATAAAATTTATTAGCCGCGTATCGAAAAGTGTCCAAAACCTGAACCTGACATCTTCGCAAAAAGTGATGCGTGTGATGAATGTGAGAAGCATTTGAGCTTAAATTCAGCTTGGATGTTGTAGTCAAGATCGTGTTTTGAGCTAAGTTTATGAATGAACAAACTTAAAACAATAGACAGAGAAGCCGTTTCTTGAAAATTTTTACTCAAAATCCAAAAAGTTAATCCTTTAAAGCAATTCGGAAAACACTATCTCGGATCCGTTCACGCAAGTGAAATCGGCTGAGCACATGGCAAAATTTAACACAAAATCCATCTCAAATCGGGGCACATTTTGTAATTTTTCTTTAGCGCTGAAGAGAAAAAATTATAAAACATCTATGAGACATTTGAAAATACATAAATTCCCTTTCAAAAACGTAATTGTCTTGGCTATAGAGTGCAAAATGTACCTGAAAATTCAGCAAAAACTTCAGTGCCTCGGTTGAGAGATCCGTCGTGAAGAAAACAAGGTTGAATTCCTCGAAGGAGGATTTCTTGATGCAAAGCTTCCCTTCTTCCACAAAAAGAAAGCTGAGCATTCTTTTTAACTTTCTCTTTCCATTTTTTTGTCTTTTAACGGTGTATTTTTAAGCCTGAAATGCAGAACTCTTGTCTTCAAACATCTGCATGGTGATCGCCCGGCACACAGCCATTGTGTTGAAAATGGATATCTGTCACTAAGGTTTCCAAATATGGTAAAATTGAATATTCACGAGCATTGAGCGCGAGTTACACGTTTCAACCCCTTATGAGTTTCTGGTCAAATTCAATCCAGTCACTGTAATAGTCAACTAGAACAAGATATATAGTGTTCTTTGTTCCATTTAAAAATATCAGATCCAACTTTTGACCAGGGTCTGTTAGGAATTTCATGACTGATTAGTGTTTCTTTTTGGTTCTTAGTCTGGAAAGCATTGCAGACTTCACATGTAGCGATGAACTGTTTCAATTGATTGTTCATTCCGGGCCACCATAATGAAGTTCTAGCACGCCTAAGGGTTGACCCGGTGCCTATATGTACTTGGTGTTATTTAATAATCAGAGTCTTTCGGATTGTTGCCGGAACTACGATTCGATCACTCCTGTAAATGATTCCATCGTTAAAGGAAAGTTCATCCTTAATGTTCCAATACGGTAAGATTTCAATAGGAACGTTTCGTTTGCTTGGTTTCCAGCCATAGATATGTGGTCGACGACAGACTGTCAGACAGCGTCCTTTGCAGTGGCTTCTGCAATTTTAGCGAAGTTGCTTGTTAAGCTTTGTTCTTTATGAACAAGTCTTGTCGTTTCAATCTCTTGTTCGATCCTGCTTCGGTGCTGGTTAGTCGTTCGAGATGTGCTCAGGGCATCAGCAATAAAGGGCTCTTTGCCTTTTACATACTTGAATTCGAAATCTTATCCCATGATTCTACATAGCATTCGCTGAAGTCTAACAGGATTATCTTCAACAGGTTTCTTCAATACGGCAGCAAGGGGTTTGTGGTCGTTATAGACTGTCACTTTCCCTCCATAAGTGTAGGTATGAAATCTAGTGAGCCCAAATACAAAACTAAGCATCTCTTCCTCGATTTGGCTGTAGCGTTTTTCAGTGTCTGTTAATGCTTTCGATGCATACTGTATAGGTTGGCCGCCTTGCATGAGGCAGGCTCCTAAACCACTTGATGATGCGTCCAATTGGACTTCAACTTGCGCAGCCACATTGAAGTATCTTAGCAGTGGTGCATTCAGAATGAGGGTCTTAATTTCATCAAAAGCTTTCTGTTCATTTTCTTTCCAGATAAACGCAGTGTTGTTCTTCAGCAGAGCTCGTATCGGTTCTGACTTGGTTGACAAGTCTTCTGAAATCTTGAGAGGTAGGTAACAACACCAAGTAGTCTTCTGAATTCATCTTTGTTTGTTGGGGCCGGCATTGACTGAATACATTCTTGTTTCTTGGGGTCAGGTTTAACTCCTTTGTCTGTAAGGACCACACCCATGTAGAACAACTCACTCTTCCTCAGCTGGAACTTCTCCTTATTAAGTTTAATATTCTTCTGATGGCATCGCTCCAACAAGGCAAGCAATCTCTTGTCATGGCTAGCTGTTGCTTCTTCAATGTTTTCTCCATCGCGCCAGATCAATATGTCATCAGCTATGGCTTTTTACACCTTCTAATCCTTCTAGATTTTCATCAATTCTTCTTTGAAATTCTTCAGGTGCTACACTGATGCCAAAAGGCATTCTTTTCCATTTCATCCGTCCAAGAGGGGTATTAAAGGTTGTCAGCAAGGAGCTTTCTGCATCTAATGGTACTTGCCAAAAAGCAGTCTTGATATCACCTAGAGAGAATACTTTAGCGTTGCTAATGTATGTAAGCAGATGATCGACAGTTGGGATTGGGTACTCAGATCGTTTGAGTGCCGTGTTCAGTGGTCTGCTGTCTATGCAGAGTCTAATTCCATTCTTAGCAGAAGGTTTGTTTCCAATTGTAGGAGCACTTACCTATTCGGTAGGTTCAGTCACTTTCTCAATTATACCTTGCTGTTGGAGGTCGTTTACTTCAGCAATAAAGTTGTTCTTTACGGAGAGAGGGATCTCTCTAGGAGCTGTTTTGTGAGGAGTGACATCATTACTTGTGTGAAGATGTAGCTAGTTCGCCCTCAAACTTTCCTATACTGTCATCAAAGACTTTAGGGGAGTTAGTCAGAATGGCCTCCAAGGTGAGTGGTGTTGTCACTTCACTGGCAGCTGTCATCAAAGACTTGAGGGTAGTTAGTCAGAATGGCCTCCAAGGTGAGTGGTGTTGTCACTTCACTGGCAGTTACAGGGACACTTGGGTTAGCTGGGGCTACTACAGCAATATTCTCTCGTAAGAGCTCAATGTNCTTTAGCGTTGCTAATGTATGTAAGCAGATGATCGACAGTTGGGATTGGGTACTCAGATCGTTTGAGTGCCGTGTTCAGTGGTCTGCTGTCTATGCAGAGTCTAATTCCATTCTTAGCAGAAGGTTTGTTTCCAATTGTAGGAGCACTTACCTATTCGGTAGGTTCAGTCACTTTCTCAATTATACCTTGCTGTTGGAGGTCGTTTACTTCAGCAATAAAGTTGTTCTTTACGGAGAGAGGGATCTCTCTAGGAGCTGTTTTGTGAGGAGTGACATCATTACTTGTGTGAAGATGTAGCTAGTTCGCCCTCAAACTTTCCTATACTGTCATCAAAGACTTTAGGGGAGTTAGTCAGAATGACCTCCAAGGTGAGTGGTGTTGTCACTTCACTGGCAGCTGTCATCAAAGACTTGAGGGTAGTTAGTCAGAATGGCCTCCAAGGTGAGTGGTGTTGTCACTTCACTGGCAGTTACAGGGACACTTGGGTTAGCTGGGGCTACTACAGCAATATTCTCTCGTAAGAGCTCAATGTTTTTGAATGTTTCAGATTCATTTAGACCGATCCGAGGTGTTAGGTCTCTGTCAACAATTCTAAACTGAATTATCCTTTCTTCACTGGTTGCAAGATTTAGCACAAAGACTTTTCACAGACAAACAAGCTCACAGAAAGTCAGATCGATAGCAGATCGATAGCAGCAGAATAATCAGCGTTTGTTCGCACTCCTGGTACCATGTTTCGGTGAGAGCTCTAACAGTAACAAGACAGTAACTCAACTCAACGCCATGACAGAACGTAGCTCTCTCCAGCCCCTTCCTATGATGCCTAGCATTAGAATTACCTCCCTCTAACAACCTGAGTTTTCGTGGACGTCAATCAACAAGTTTCAATGGTTTTCTCACGAACTTCTCGCTCATCGAATCTAGATCTGTTTTAAGAGCCAAGACTTGCAGGAATATTTTTCTCCGGTATGAGCAAGGCGTTTCAAGTTTCGCTGAGGTGATACTCTTAAATTAACTTTGTAAGTCTGAAAATCAATATTTACTGTAAGTTACAAGCAGTTGCATTTATGTAATAAACTTTATACTCACTACTCGCTGGCAACTC